ACTCTTCTAAGAGCTATTTTTTCAATGAACAAGAACTCTAATTGGTTGAGCCTATGTGTCATCGAAATAAACCATTCATATCTAAACTATCTTCATACCATCATTAGGGCATAGCTAATAGCACCTCACAAACTTAATAATGAAACCCAAGATTAGCTTCCCAACTATACAACAAAGAACTATGTTGCATCCATAAAGCTTTCCATTCAATGTCCTAACTTGTAAGCTTGTGTAGATATGAAACCCACTCTTTTTTTTATTTTGCCCTTAGCCATTCGTTATCAAAAAAACTCTTTGATAGAATTGTTAGAAGTGAGTAAGGTTTGCAAAACTTATTTTCTTCACATTTTAAATGACTTTTCATTTAGATATATAGTAGTTGCCAACATCCATTGAAATGCCCTTTTCCATTTTGATGACACTAATTCAAGGTTTAGAGATTTTCCATAAGATAGTCGGAGCCACATTGATCTTATGCTCCATTTGATCTATAAATTCTATCACAACAACTTCAACATAGCCCAGCACTTTTGGAAAGACCACCAGTCCATATATGGCCAAGGCCATGGTAATCATTCCTTACTTATCATTTAAATGCTTATGAATGAATCCTTATAGAGAACTCCATGGAATACACATGCTTTCACATTTTTGTTTAACACAAGCATCGACCTTTGGCAAACTAAGCCCTAGTAGAATGACAAGCTTCTTACAATAATTTGTCATGTTGGTCCAATAAATCTTGTCAGGGTTTGGTGGATCAAGGCAAAGTAGAACTATTTGTTCTTCTATGGTTGGCACATTATCCATTTTGTTAAACACGAAACAACTATACAATGGATCTTAGAATTGTATCGTGGCTTTGATCATATTGTAATCTACAACCAATAAAAGGACTAAAACCACATCCCTATATTTGCACTCGAATGCTTACTGTTTTGTTTTGTTCAAACATTTCTAAACACTAATCAAATTTGCAAGATCGTTTATATTAGACATCAAGATAAATTTTTTTGAGAAGCTTTGAAGCATAATCTTTGAGCAAACAATTTCTTTCCTTGCATTGGACTTCTTCTTATTCATTGTTCAACTACTTAGATGACATATATTGAGTTAGTGTGGACTCTTACTGTGCTTGATTTTTCATGGATGTAACTGTGAGATTTAACTTGTCAATAATTGCTACATGGCAAATACTCCCTAATTTTTAATTTAGTGATGCAAATGTAATGTGAAATAATCAAATAACCTAATAACCATAATAGTAGAAAATGTTCTTTATGTATCCTATGTCTTAAGTTAGGTTATATTCCTAATAATTGGTGGTCATGGCTTCATAATAAGGTTGGCTTCTTAGGTGTGATTTATTTACACCATTAGGTTATTTGACTAAACCAAAGTTTCTAAATTGTTCCTTGTTGTCGTTCATGTGGGATTAATAAGGTATTTCAATTCTTGCCTATCATAGGCTACAAGCAAAAATGGTTTAATTTGAATTAGGGTATTTCGTTAGCCTATATAAAGAGATGAAATCTCATAAAAACATAGCTATTCTACTTCCTCTAAAGAGACGGAGCCCGAATATAGAGCTCATGTTATGAAATCCATGTGAATGACATAATAACAAATGCTTGAAAGTATATATAAAAAAAAAAGCTCTTTTAAAGAAAAATATTAAATTTATTAAATTAAGCTTGGATAGCATGAATTCATTTATTGGCCTAACTATCAACTGTTCTCAGCACAGTAGCTAAACTATCATAACGTATAAATCCATAAACTTATTGCTAGACATAACTTTAAAAGTCATTATCAATCTTTTTTTATTTAAATACGATTGATTACCTAATTGAATCTGTCACCTTTTTAAAGATAGATCCTAAACTTAACTTAGGTTCATTTAAAGAGTAGATTCTAGTGTATGATATTAAATAAGGTTTGGGAATATGGTTATGTGTATAACCACCTTACAATGCTCATCCAAAAGATAGTATTAATTAATTTCATATTATCCAAAGCCTTAAAACACTTTTAAAGTTTATCAAATAATTTAATATTAAAAATTATTTTTAAAATTACTTTAACAGTTTGATAGTAATTTAAAAAAATTCTCACATTTCAAGAATATTAAAAAAAACTACTGTCACTTTCTGAAAAAATTTCGTCATCGAATTCATTAAGATTTTTTCAAAGACTTATTGTTTTTTAAATTAATAAAATCTTTCAATAATTTAATAAAATTTTATTTCAAAATATATTCTCCAATAATTTAATATGATTAAATTTCCACAAAATTTATTGAAAAAGATAATTAAAAAATGATCTCCACAAAATTTATTGAAAAAGATAGTTTGGTCGATTAAATTTCCAGCCTCCAAGAAGTGACCTTCGGCTGCCCATAATTCCTGAAGTAGGCTTGAGCCTTGGCCAAAATTCCGGAAGCGTTCTGAAACTCCTCCGTATGATGAAATGCTAAATCTAAGAACCCACAAACTCGACCCAGCCGATCATCCTCCACGTCCGTCGATCTACGACAACCTTTTGAAAATGCCATCTAGCTTTCATTTCACCCACATCTTCTACATCAATACCAGGCTTTATCCTTGCCAACTTAAAACATCATACACCGTCCGAAAGTTAACCTGCACCTGTCAACTATCCCCAAATTCCTAAGCCACAACTAACTTGCTTGTCAAAACTATTATCGACACTTTGTTGTAATCTAGTCGTCCACATCATTTTCCTATTAATCATTCTCACTGAAAATTTGTCCAAACCTCTCCCAAAACCATAGACATCCCAAGTAAATCATCCTAAATACACAGAAATTCTCTCGAATCATTCACTGAAGTTTTTAAAGTCTTAAAATTCCATTTCAGCTCAAGGCTAAGTTCAACAGCCCAATCCGTACGAGATTACGGATCGGCACATCACTCAGCTGATTGGCCCAAAGGTCCCAAGAGTCCGAAAGGCGCCAATCGAATCGGTCGGCCCACTACCGAGCTGACGCTGTTGTTTGCCAATTGACGTCCGTCGTTTGTATCGAAATCAGGCTTGTCGCTTTCAATCCATCCATTGCCATAATCGTCCGAATATCTTTAGATCTTACACCAGACAATTCGCTCAAATATACTTTCTAAAACTTAGGCATTTTAGTTCTCTTCTCATTAAATATTAAGCATGCTAAGATATCATTCATCATCATGCATCATCAATCTTAGGAATGCATGATGGTATGCCATGTATTTGAAATTACGATTTACTTTATTGTTTAAGGCTATAGACATTTTCATGTAAATTTACGTCCAGTAAATTATGCATTATCTTATCATTTAAATTAGATAAAAATAATAAATTGTATTAAATATACCCTTGAGGTATCATATTGAACTATCAATATAATGTCATTTAGACTAGATTGTATGTTATATTTCTCTGATTACACTTTCTTGCCTTATAATAATAGCATGAAATGCTTTGTTTAATGTAATTGTTTGACACTATGGTGTTTGCATCATTAATGGTTCATAGATCATCCGAGGTTGCCAACCTACATGTATATTTCTAAATCCATGCATGGTAACATGGGACATATAAACTGTTTATATGCATTGCTTGTTACCAAGAATAAAAAGGAGATGCATGCTCTTTAATCCACAAGATAATTAGGGTGTTGGTCTGAAGTGAATAAGTAAAGGATAGGTTTCTCCTAAATAAGGTTTAGAGCTTTGATTTCTCTAATATCTTATTTATTATCTTTGAATTAAATTCTTTGGTAAAGACGAGACTGTAACTTTGAAATTGACATCATTTCTTGAAAAATAAATAAATAGATTAATGACTCTTAATCAAAGCTTGGATTTCTACACTGAAAGAAGCACAAGGGGTGAAACCTGCACCGCTCACACATGCATGTCCACGAGGGATGGTGCACTTTATAGCATTTGAAGTCTTCTGTATGTCCATAAATGATCGGAAGTGATCGAGATGATTAGTTAGGTCACTGGTGCCATCATAGGTCTCCTTTGGAAGCTTAAGAGGCATGGACACTTCCTCTTGGCGAACAACCAAAGACAAAGGGTTTTACTCATCATCAAGCCAATCTAAATCATTATTCTTTATCTTTTGTTGACTCTTAAGTCTTAATCTCCTATCGTAGAGCTGCAATTTGAAAGTCAGCTCCCTCTTGTGGGGTATTGTTTGGTGTGTTGTTGGTTTAGTTTGGCGAGTAGTTTTGTTGTGAGGGTTTGTTGGCCCTTGGTAAGCAATGCTTGGTAAATCTTTAGCGAATGAGGCTGAACTTTATTGCTCGCAATGGCGGTCAGGTTGAGGCTAAAGACGAGCAAGTTATTGTGCTACTTGTTAGATTATTTGCTGTTAGGCAGCCACTTGGGTGTTTAAGAGTTGGAGTTGAGTTAGTATTGAGTGATATTGTTCTATTGGTGGTGGTTGTGTGACCGAGCACATATTTGCTGGGTATAAAAGGTTGGTAGGACTAGCCCTTGGTTAATTATGTTTGTGGTAGGCACTGATTCTTTGATGGTGGAAGTAACAAGGGGACTATCTAGTATTGTTTGGTGTTACTTGCACAACATCGAGAGTTGTGTTGGTTAGTAGGAGGAGAATGGCAACTGTGGCCAATGTAGTGTAATGGATGGAGTGTAATGGAGAGAGAGCTCCCATCAGATTTTGAAAATAATTATGGCGGTGTGGCATCCATACATTAAAAGACAATGGTTATGGTAGTAAGGGAAGGCATATTTATACCTCACTTGTTGGGGAAGACCTTCGAACACAGATACAGCTAGTAAGCTAGGCAAGATGCCTGTCGGGGGAACAATTGGTGGTTCGGCAAGAACAACCTCCACCCCACCCAAAAAAAGAAAGAATACTAGCAGTAAATGGCAATTAGGCAACCTTAAACTTACAATAAAAATACATTATACCCAAAAAGAAACTATACAAAAATGAAGACCCTTTTTTGTAACCCGTGCTCCCTTACCTACCTGGACGAGACTGGATTCAAACTCCTGGCGAGTCCGCTAAGCGCTCCGTAGCCTTTTGAACTGAAGCGTAAGCACCCAAATAATCCTAGTCTGTAAGGCAAATAAGTCCTCTTCCTCATTACCTTAGCATGAGCTCTGTTTGTCGTGTAGAGCAACTCGTGCGGCGACGGAGGCACCCGTCGTTTTGCTACCCCATTTGCTGGCTTCGGTGAACTCACTTTCTTACCCAGTACTCCTTGTTTGTTTTCCTTTTGTTTCGGCTTCGAAGGAGGTCCCTTTTCCTCGTGAGTTTGGATCTTCTTTTCTTTTAATGGAGAGAAAGAAATGCAAGTCCAAAACCTTTCCTTCCCATTTCCTCTCCCTTCACTTTTACTTCGATACAAAAGATCTTTTAAGAATATCCATTTTTTGGAGTTTCCGCCGGAAGATGAGGATCTTGATGAAGAGGCAGAACACGACGTCGTTGTTTCATTTGAAGTGACAGTTTCTTTCAAACCTTCCAAAATGCGTTGGCTATCTTCTCTTTGTTCTTTGCTACACTCTTTTTCTTCCCATTGAAACTCTGCGTTTCGAAGCGGTGATAATGATCTCACCTTTCTGTGAAGAGATCTGCTTCGGAGTTTCAGGTCTCTTCCTCGTGAAGATTCCCGGATGTTTAAACCGTCGTCGTTTTTCAACTCCACGTCGTCGTCTTCGACGTCTAGATCTAATAAAGGAGCTAGGATCTGAGGTTTTTGCAGGTGAGAGGAGAGCTTCATTGGCCTGATCTGGCCGTTCAAGAACAACTCATCAGCCCAACTCATGGATCCAACGACAACAGAACCACTGCTAGAGAAGCGAGACGCGAAATCGAATTCGAAAGACGACGCATCAGATTGTGCCGACATTAACGAGGACTCGGACGAAAGATGACACGTGACGAAGGGAGCAGAAGATGGCACGAAATGCATGGGACTTGCCGGCGCGCTAAAGAAGTACCCCGAGGTGGGGCCACGGCCGGGGCTTGAAGGTGCACTAACATAGGGAGTGGAGCAGCTGGAATCAAAGTCCTCACTGAAACGCGGCGTTTCGGTGGTGTCGGTGGGGTCGTCATCGTAATGAGAAGAAGAGAGGTGAGTTGCTGTTTCAGTTTCACTACTGTTGTTAAGGTTTTGAAGTAAGACCATTACGAGAAAAGATAAGTTATTGAAGGAAGGTTGAGTAGCTTGCGGGGCACGCAATAATGGAGCAGAGAGAAAGCACCGGGAGCGAGGAGAAATGCACATGCATGTGCTGAGAGGGCAGAAGAAAAGCAGCGATGGAAGTTGCTCTTGGCAATGCGTTAGAATTAGAATAATAATAGAAATAGTGGGTTTCTTTTTTAATAATCGAGGCATCGAATTACCGGTTTTGCCCATTACTCGATCTTCCTTGGATTCACTGAATACTAGTTACTGGTACTGTTTCTTACATGGATTTTTTTTTATGGAAATAGTATACCGAAAATTTTATATACATTAGTTCATTTATATTTAACGCAACAATTATTTAATAGTTATTTAAAATTTTATTATTCATAAATTTTTAATACTTTATGATATTTTTATTTAAAATTTTTAAATAAAAATAAATATGTAATTACATCATTTGTATTTAATTCTTTAATAAATATAAAATTACCTATAATGTACATATTACTACGAACAACATCGAATGATCAGTAATTAATTTGTAGTAATATTTTTCAAATATTTATTTCATGATGAAGGCATAAAAATCGTTGTTTAAAATTTAAATAAATAATTATGACCGAACAGTAATAAATTCAAGTATAGTTTGTTGTTTTCAATGCATAAAGAAACCCACTCAAAAACCTTAAGGCTTATATATTTTAGTTTTTCATTTTAATCCTTTAGTTGGAAAAACGTATATGAAGTTTAAAATAATAATTATAATATTATAAATAATAATAAAAAAAGAAAGGATAAAAACGTAAATAGAGAATGGGAAGGGAGGTCTGAGCCTTGAGTTCTCTGGGTGATAACGTGTGATGTCATGAGTGAGCAGAGAAAAGACAAAGACCCGTTCAGTAAAGACGTGGCGGCACGTGCTAGGCTTAGACTTCCTTCATTTTTTAAAATTCTATACTAATTAACAATGGGCCCACTATGCCATTTTAGCGATAAATCTTGGGTCTTAACAATCTTTATTTCATTAACCCAATATAACCCAATCTGTCTTTTCCTTCCATTAGAAAACCTATAAAATCCTCTGCCATTTCAGAAACAGAAAACGCAAAATAAACTGTAGCTGAGCCGACCGTAAAAGAAAAGGTGTAGCTAAGCGGAACGCTGCTTCCCCTCACCCCAACACCCCTACCCCCCCTTCAAAAATAAGTAATTTGAAGCCTGGTTTACTTGCTTCTTCCTCCTAAGCCGATTCTCTTCTACCCGTTGCCATGACCAACACTTTGGCAGCTGCAAACGCCGAATCATCTCGCTGCGTTGCGGCTTCTTCCAGACCGTTTTCGTTAAACCCACCCCCGCTACTCAACCTCCTTTTGAGATACGCCCCTTCTTGTGCTTCTCCCAAAAGTACCCACTTTTCTCTTTATCTCCGCAAGGAAGACACAGCGTTTCTAATAAACGCTTACTTTCGATCTCGAAGAATAATTCTGATGGGGCAAGTGGGCTAACGTATAAGGATTATGCTGGGTCTGAGCTTGTTAGAAGAATCGCCAAGATGGCGCCTGGAATTGGTGGTTTTTGGAGTCCTTACCCTCTCGGTAAGATTTTGTCTAACCTCTCGGTAGAAAATGCAAAACGATAGTGCTGCTGTTATTAAATGCTTATAGAACCCTACATCTGTTGTTCCTTTTAGAAAATTTATTTCTTCTTCTTTTTTTTTTTTTTGGTTCGTCCAATGTGTTAATGAACTTTTGCTCGGATGGATAGGGGATTCTTACCTTGTTGCTGGTACTGATGGTGTTGGAACCAAACTGAAGCTAGCATTTGAGACCGGAATCCACGAAACTCTTGGGATTGATCTTGTAAACTTTGGAACAAACCTTTTATATGCATTTTCTCTATAAATTAATATTTTCATCCAAATAAACTTATACTGCAGGTTGCAATGAGTGTCAATGACATTGTTACTTCTGGAGCAAAGCCATTATTCTTCGTTGATTATTTTGCAACGAGTCACCTTGATGTTGACCTTGCTGAAAAGGTTCAAATTGTTTTGTGTACTTCAGTTACGTTGCGCATGGATAAAAATCTCAGTGGCTAACTGGCATTAGTAACGTTCCCTTTCTGTTTTCTTTTTCTTCATGAAAGGCATTGTAGATGGTTGTCAGCAATCTGACTGTACTCTCTTGGGTGGAGAGGTACATAATTTAATTTTTAATTCATATTTATTATCTAATGAGTGGGATGGATGGCTTCATGTTGAAAGTGGAAAATTTATAAGTTCATAGAATGAAATAACTAGGGAATATTGAATTGAAGAGCTGTTACTAGCTGCGTAATCATAAGGGCTACAAATGGTTAATTTTCTTAACCCTACACATCGTATTTTATTAATAACTTGCCTTGTGATGAAGATATTGTCTGCAGAATGCATTTCGCTGTGCAATGTTGAAGCCCTTTCAACTTTTATATATGGTTAAAATTGCTATGAACATTTTAATTTCTTAAGTCAAACTCAACGAACTTTACATGCCTTTTAGACTGCAGAGACGCCAGATTTTTATGCAAAGGGCGAGTATGATCTTAGTGGCTTTGCAGTAGGTATTGTTAAAAAGGATTCAGTTATTGATGGGACAAACATTGTGGGTGGAGATGTGCTGATTGGTCTACCTTCTAGTGGAGTCCATCAAATAGTTTCTCTCTTGTCAGAAGCTTAGCAACACATGTAAAGGAACGTCCTATTTGTAATTATCTTCAGTGGTATTGTGAGAAATATGGTTGAATCTATATGATTCTTTTATACAGTAACTTTTCATTATTCTTTTAACAAGAAAAAAAAAGCATTCTTAGTTCTGATATATGAAATCCTTTTGATGTTCTTATAATCTTTTGCAAGGTTTTGGCTCGAATTGGCCTTTCTTTAAAGGATCGACTTCCTGATGTAGCAGTTACATTAGGTGAAGCATTGGTGGCACCAACTGTTATATATGTCAATCAGGTTATAGTCAACTTTTGTTTGACATCATTAGTTTGGTCTCATCTCCTTGTGTACAGTTGGCAAGCTAAATCCTATTTCCCTGTCAACAGGTGCTAGATTTAATTAGCAAGGGAGGGGTAAAGGGGATAGCGCACATCACAGGTGGTGGTTTTACAGACAATATACCACGAGTGTTTCCAAAAGGCCTTGGTGCTGTCATCTATAAGGATTCTTGGGCAGTGCCGCTTGTGTTCAAATGGATAAAACAGGTAGAAAGTATTTTCATAGCATGTTCTTAAACCTACATAGAGATTGAATTGCTTTCCTTCCTTTATATCAACAGTTAGCTTTCAAAGAATGATGTCGAAAACTTAAAGGGTTTTAGGTTTGCGCCACATGGACTGGAGACCTTTTCTTATAGTATCTCATCTTTTTTTGTCTTTGGTTTATATTCATCACTTCTCTTTTTTTTTTTTTTAATTTTCTTAATTACCTAGAATTTGTAGTATTTGTTTGTATTTATTTGATTGCTATGTATTTAGGCTGGAAAATTTGAAGATGCTGAGATGAGGCGGACCTTTAACGTGGGCATTGGCATGGTTCTCATTGTGAGTCAGGAGGCATCTAATAAAATACTTGAAGATGCAAATGGTGCTAACACAGCTTACTGCATTGGTGAAGTTGTGAGCGGAGAAGGAGTGATCTATCACTAAAAGGGTAGCTTGTGGTTGTAACATTTTGTGATATATTTATTTCTCTCTTAATTGGGATGAGATGTGCAGTTGCGGCTTTTTGGTTGTCCCGAACAAATTTGTATAAGTGACAGTAAAAACATATAAGATCTAAATAAGTATTGCCTTGGTCATTATTCTTGTCACAACTAGCTTTGTCTTAAAAACTTTTAGATATATAAGAAGCATGACAAATGCCACCCAAAATCATATATTTTCTCCTAGGAACAAATTAATGAAGCGGAAAACGAATTAGGCGATTCAAAAATTAAGCATGACATAGCCAATTGTCCCTACTCACCAGTCACCATCTATTCTGTAAGTAGTCACATTGCTCTATTCTAAGTCTTTTAGCTTGATCTGTTTCTTCTCAAACTTCTTGCTTTCCTTCACAAACCACCCGTCTCCCTTGATCTTGCGATGAACTGTTTATCTTCCACTGCCTTGTTTTCGTTGACTTGAAAGGCTGTTCCATCCATGACCAAATCATCTTGTATGTTCCGAGGCTGCCTCGCATTAGCTGGCATCCTCTTATCTTGCATTTCACGGGGTCCAATATTTTGGTTTACCAGAGGCAAACCAAGCGAATTCCTGCCGTGAAACTTCTCGTTTCTTGTGACAGAATCTGCTTGTAGTTTGTTTCCATCAACTACAGATTCTCCCAAAATTGTGCCCTTTTGTTGTGCTTCCTTACCTTGAACTAACTCAGTTTTTGTTCATCTTCTGTTTCCACACGTTGCGGATTCGCTCTTCAAGTTGTTGAATTTTCTTCTTTCATGAAATCTGTTCTCTTTCTCGAGCTTAAAATGTTTATACACAATCTAAAGCATCCAGAGTGTTAGACACCACGGGCTTGTAGAGAAAGCCGGCAACATATTTTGGTGGATATCTTAATGGAGGAACAAACAATATAGGACTCCAAATCAGGGGAGTCAAAATAACCCGTGAAGACACTGGACTTCCCGTGAACCTCACTGGTTTTCACTTTTCAAAATAGTTGTTGTATTGGTGAGGGTTGCTTTGTTCTTCATGCCTCCAAAAATTAAAGTGTTCGACAAAATAGTAATTCAAAGGTGAAGTGTCCTAAAATCTATGACAAATCGCATCTGTTAAGGGATATGAAATAGCATACCGTGAATGAGAGCGTTGTTGTAAATGGAGATATAGTTTTGTTCAGTCAAATTCTTTCTCTTGGAGAACAACTTCTCTGGGCCTTGCAGAGCCGAAAGGATTTGGTTTCTGCTTTGGTTGCACCTAACCTAACCTTGAAAACACACAGCCCCACTTGCTTTCTCTTCCCGCCATTTCTCTCTCACTCCCTATTCCAAACGCCTATGTTGCCCTTTCGAAATTCAAAGGGTTAATATTTGACTTAGCCGAGAATTATACCATTTAAGATTAAATATTTAAATTTTGTTTTTATCAAATATTTTATCTCATACATTAATTTCATTAACA